CCCCAAAACCCCAAAACCCCAAAACCCCGTAACAGCTTATATTACTCTTAATTACTTTCAATAAAATCATAAATCATTTTTATATCCATAATTTAACTTATATTCTTCTTCCAATTTTGCATACCTTCTTTTCTTAACTAGCTCCAATAAATCATCTGTATTTATTGGTATTTGAATGCTAAATCTGATATTATCTTTAACAAATTAAAATAGCATATCATCTTAAAATAGCTTATCTTTTCCATAGAGAATAACTTGCTTGTTGCGAAGTAAAAGAAGTTAGGGAACATCAATTTGCTCCCATTCATTATATCCAATATACCAATCTGGATACTAACTCGTAAAAGTATCAAACTTATAAATTTTGAGCTCCTCATATTCAAGAGCACTTAGTTTCAATAGCAAAGTTCTAACTTTTAAGGCAATATTATTGCTTTAATCATTTATATCTGTATCTTTTCTAGTTGAGCAGGCGTATATTAGCATATCATGATTCTTATGGAAAGAGTCATTCCTGTCCTAAGCCATTTCGTAGAAAGGAATATTAACTAAAATCTCATTCAGCTTGAAATCAACTAGGCTCTCAAAATATTTGTAGTTAAGCGGTAAAAGCATATTTCTCTCAAATTTTTCAATTGCATCTATAACCAAAACCTTATCAATTATTTAATGGTTTTATCTCTCGTAGGAATATATCAAATTGGTTTTGGAAACTATCATTATTTCTTGGCATGTATTATGATTCAATGCAAATAATTAATGGAAAAATTCAGACTAATTTTTGTCTACTAAAAAGTAAAGATAATCATCATTAGCCACATTTTTAATCACGATCTACATATCCTTCAATTCTTGATCAAAGTTACTTAGTTAAGTTTAATTTATTATAGCGTTTTTAGAAGTTGAACTCATTAGATTAACAGAATTGATGTCTAATCTTGAAATGTAGGGTATTGAGTAGAAGTCAATCATTTAGTGGAATTTACTGTATTCATTAATCATTCCTATTGGCATGATCACATTCATCTTAGCATTAGATAAAATGATCACATAATTCTCTTATGTTTCTCCATCTTCATCTATCAACTGCTCAATCCCCTCAACTTTGCCTTTTAATAATTCCCTCAATAATTTAGACTCTAAAGTGTGAGTAACCATAGCAAATCTAACATCATCTCTACTATAGTATCTGCGAGCAGAATCAAAAAGTAACTGTTCTTAAAGATGAACATCGTGAACTCTGTTTGTTAATATAAATATTACTCTAGTCTTAAACGGCAGTTCATCATAATACTAGTGATCTACATGATCAGTACATTGAGAGATATCATCAATAAAAGGTTCATAGTAATTGACAAACAATTTAATCTAGTTTTCATGCAATATATTAATGACTGGTTTATCAACTCTCTAAATAAAATGCATGAAATGATCGACTTCAAATATCCCTTAATACTTAAAGAAAGTCTAAGATCTAAATTGCTTGTTAAAAAGGCGTAGATTACAAGATATAGAGAATTGAATGATTTTCCTATCTCAAGTTTCTCCTTAGTTGTTTGTCCTAGATCTAGTCTAAGTCATTTATATCCAATCTCAATATCAGATAATCATAATCCTATAGAATTAATAATTGCAATTAAACTTACGTTTTTGATGAGTTGCTATCTTTAAATCAAATGTAAAAAGTGGAAGAACCTGCAATCCTTCTCCGTATTTGATATTTTAGAATCGTATAAACCAATTATGATAGCCATTTTATCCTAGATAACTTCACTTAATGAAGAGGCTAAGTATTTTGGAATTCTCCTCATTGTCTCATTATAATTGCAATAGGTAATTTTTGGATACCTTTGCTCCGCATAATACATATTCATAGCTTCAGTGAAAGTGACATCCACACTGGTGACTAATTTTAGCCAAAATATAGAAGTGATTAATAAAACTAGGTTTAATTTCATTTTTTAATTAATTATAATCATATATTCCAAGTAATCATAGATTACAGTTAAATTAGATTTTGCACATCAATTTTACTTTTCAGATCCTTGCTTCCAAGTTTTGATGAGAAGTAATTTCCATACATTATCGCAGGCATCATTGAAGGAGGGACTTTGACAAATAATTCTTTAACATTTTAGCACTTAAAATCCCTAAGCATCTACTCCCTTATATGCTTTAGCAATATTAGTCTTTTCTTGTTAATGAAAAAAGACTGAATATGCCTGAGCTGCTCTAATTTTGAACTTATTTTCCAAGGACCAATCTTAGACCTATATAAAATTATAAATTGCAAAATGAATTACATGTTGGAGTGATTTGGAGGAAGTCTTCTAATCCTTATATACTTATTTCTGCATTAGTACTTATAATTGCAATTGCCAAAAACCTCAGAGTGAGGACACGTCTCTTCGAGATGACTCAATTCCAATTCTTATCTTAAAAGATTTTCATTCTTTTGAGTTAGTTACTACTGCTACTGCAATAATGATTCCTAATTGTTTTGTTTAGAATCATCATTTTATACTATGGACTCATTGATTCTATCTTAGGCCTATTATTATTTAATTCGAAGTCTTTTAAGTCTTCGCATCTATAGTACCTTCTGAGAATTTATATAGTTCTCATAGTACTTTCCTCTATTAAGAATATGCTTTACAGTCATCTTATGACTTCCTTTGAAAAATTTAGAATTAACAAAAGTTTTTTAGCAGTAATCGCATGTAAATTTTCTTTTTTATTTCATTTTAATAATTAAATTTTTACTAATGTCAACTTAATCGTAAAAAATTGAGTAAATTTATTATTAAAATGTTTATTCAAAAAACATGAGCTCTTTTGGCGATTTCAACACCCCACCAGATGGACCAAATCCAACCAATTAACAAGAAACTAATCAACATCTAAGCAATTCCAATGAGTATTCCTTTAACCACTATTTGATTTCCCATGCATGCATTGATTATTGTGCCAAGTCCAGGTATGAATATATTCAAGATTAGAAGTAATACGCCGAAAGCTTTATCAACAGGCACAATTGTCCCTAACAGTTCATCAATTACTGACATTTCAATTATTTATATATTTACTTTAATATTTTAACTTTTTAATTTCAAATATTCTCATTTATAGCAATGAAGGGGTTTTGGGGTTTTGGGGTTTTGGGGTTTTGGGG